GAGGGGATACTGCGATATACTGTATTGTACTGGGTTTCTATTGCGGGAGCAATACTTCCCAGTCATGCGGAGTTCCATGCGAAGCCTGGTATTAGAAAATTCCTTATTGAGTTTCCTATGAGGGGAGAAATAAGAGGCCTATTCGGAGGATAAAGCGTGGAGAGCATTTATACACAAACCAAACAAACCAATAAGAATTAAAACTTTTTATTGCCTGAAAAAAGAATCAATAGTAGAACTGCAAACTCATAACATTCACTTCCACTTTCTCTGAATAGCGAAAATTTTAAAATTTCCATCATGGAATGGAAATAGTTTTGAATAGAGTTTCGTCTGTCAGCTCAGTCAAAGAATTTGAAGAGAACCTGAGAATCTATCCAAGATTTTTGGTTCAGTGGTCATGTACGTCATACATAGCATCCTAAGGCATGCTTACTGTATCTTCATTCTCCTACAGCCGGTTTCACAATTGTTCGCCCAGACTTTATTTAGAACATAGAGAAAAGTGGGGATGAAAATAAAAGAAAATAATGTAAAGGTGATGTCCTTTATGTTTGAAGCTGTATCCTAATACCCTAAACTTTGATGGTTTTAACGGTTATTTATTTTTTCGTTAAAACTTGAAGAAATTCTGGTAAAAGATATGAAAAATACAAAAAGAAAATAGTTTCAATCGAAGATATTCACACAGTTCGTCAAATCCGATTTTCATAGTCTTTCGAAGCTCACTATAACAGTATAAAATAACATTGTGTAGAGGATACTAGATGGGACCAAATGGTTCGTTCGTTACACTTGGAGGTTCGACTGTACTTTATTTTGATACTGGTTCCAAAGGTGGCAAATAATGAAATAAATAGCGTTTACAGCACTGTGGCTACTTTCAGCTGCTGCTGCTGCCATCTTTAGATGCTCTGTTACCTCTCATCATCTGACATCACTCAAAATACGGTATCTACTCACTTTTCAAAATTTCGCTACTTTGATTTCCCTTCTGTGGCCCCTAATGTAGAAGTACAGGCTGCACACAAAAGAGACCGTTGTTATACCTAATACATTTTCTTATTAAAAATGCCAGTACGAGAATATTTCTGTGAACTAGTTTCGATGTCTGTACGTCAGTTACATATGCAAATTTTGAAACATCATATTGTTTAATTAGCCGAATATGCTAATCATAATTTATATATAGTATACAACTCGCACTTCAAAATGCGATACTTGCAAGAAGCACCCAATAGGCACCATGTACAGACGGACAAATGATTAACTTTGCAGTGCAGATATGCAAATCACGTGTACCAGTAACGCCAACTAGGAAGCATTATAAGAATAGAAGACTAGGCTGCTTCAAGCACTGGAATAGTGTGCATTTATTATTATTTTGCGTGGGAAGTATACCTTCTCGAAAAAAATGGCAGTCATTCGATGAAGTTTCTGAGCCTGTCAGAGGAAACGTTTGTGGACATCATGTTACCTAGATAACAGATTATTCTTCCGAGAAATTGGTGTTCGTGAGGGAATCAAGTTACAGTCATGCGAATATGGAGTCGCTTCTTGCAGGAAAGACGAACTTGACCGAAGGAAATGATTGCACCGGATTCATCAGGTCACCAAACAAGAGGCGAGGCATGCAATGTACATTACAATAACGAACCACATATCACTACAGAAGAACCGGAGCGCAATAATTAGGATCTGTTGCATAGCAACCTGTGTCAAGCATGTACGATTTGACGTTGTTGAAGAGGAGAGGAGTTTTTGCAATGGCGTCCAAACCTGCGATTACAGTTGACTCTACATCACAACCGTATGAGAATGCAATAGTGTCCTGAATGTTGGACATGGACAGACGAACGGCGTGCAGCCACCGTAGTATCATAGTATCACCGTAGTAGTACATTACCTGCAGCTACGCCATATGAACTTTCGTAACATACGGGTACAGAATAGACTGGCATAATCTTAAGGACATATCTAAAGCCTCTTTCTCGCAATGCCCACACATATCGCTGCTTCAAAATGCCGTCCTGAAATGGCAACAGGAATGGGACTTAAGTGATATCGGGAGAGGTACATACGATTTCTTCCCAAAAGTTAACCTTCAAAGACACGTGTCAGTCCCACAAATCACCAACTTTGTCACTCGTCACGGACCGTTTTCAGTTTATTTCCTTTGTTTTGGCATTTCCGAAACTGCAACCTGCGTCTCGCACCGCAGACCACTAAATCTATCAATGGCCTCTCACCAATGCCACTCACCTACGACGTCAGTGCAGTCGCTTTATTACAAAACATCGTGCGACTGTACATAACATATGACAGACTATCATCACGATTGCAGACCTGGGACAGGACATCTGCCAGGTCATATAAGACCTTCTATTCCTGAGCTGCCCCTTTCTCGTTAGGATACATTGCATTCTCGTTTAGGACACATTGCATTCAGGTGGAGATGCACATCAAGGTTGTAATGTGAGAGTGCCCTATCATGCTGAAACCATAATAAACATGTTTTCTCAACCTGTTCGTGTCCTTTCTTTCTTTCTTGTGTTTTGTGTTGTCACTACCGCTCAAGGAAAGCGTTGTTGACCATGCAATGCTATGTGATTTATCGTCTAGATGTACTGTATATCTCCTGAAAGTTTGTTACCGATTTGCTGAAACGTGTATGTATGAAGCACAAGAGATATCAAAGCCATATTTTCTGGATAAATATTGTAAGGTACATGAGTGAATCGATTAAACTTCAACCCCATTCTACGTGAGGAGCGTGAAGAAATCAGTATTTTATGTAGCCACCATGGTTGGGGTACTTATGTAGCCACCATGATCGACAGGGGTGATCCAGTGCATTGGCTGGCAAGATCACCAGACCTCACTTGTATTGACTACTTCCTCTGGGAGTACGTCAAGACACTGGTGTACGAAACCCTTGTTAACAGTGCTGAGGAATTTGTTGCACGCATCATGACAGCAGCTCGGGAAGTCCGGGACACGCCCGCTATTTTCCAGAACATCAGATCTCCCATGCGCCGCACATGTAAGGCCTGCATCACAGTTCGGGGTATAATGTCGAACACTTTCTTTGATGACGATTGTTGACTGTTTTTGTTATTATTTATTGGTTTCTGTTCTTTCTCACCCTGTTTGTGCTCTTCCTTTCTTGTGCTGGTTGCTGTCATTACCGCGAGAGGACAGCGTTTCCGACCACACACTGCGGTGTGATTTTCCATCGTCTAGATTTACTTTCTGTCTCCTGAAAGTTTGTAACCGATTTGCTGAAATACCCTGTATATATATATATATATATATATATATGTTTGTGTATGTATATAAATTAATATTCGCGTGCGTAATTCTTCCGTTTCTTGATTAACTTTTGAACACCAGTATATTTTAACAAAAGTTCGTTTAAACGGGTAGAAGAAAAAAATCAATATTTTGAAACAATTGTCAATACTATGCTTTTTGGAACCCTAAAAGCGTGTTGCCTCGCTAAAACACTAACTTAAACCAGCAAATAGGGAGACAGTTCGGTGCTTGCATGGGGCTGAATGCCGGCAGGTGGGGTTATAATTACTTTACTGATTGGCAGAATCTTGGGGAAAAATTAAATATTTGGACTTGTTGACTAAGTGACAGGAAAGTGATTAAAAGCAGTGTTTGAGACTAATTTTTGCTTTTAAATAAGACAACAATTAGAAATATAAAAAAGAACTAGTTAATTTGTGGTTCGTTGTAAAAAATTTTCCTCAAGATATAAACTGAAGCGCAGAGCATAACTAGTTAAACTGCTGTTGCTGTAAGAATATAAACAGCAAGTACACAATGAACCATTATCTGAGGATTACAGTGAGTTTGAAAATTTGCAATCTCAATTAATAATAAACGTTTTGGTGCACTTTAAAAATACAACACGTGCAGCAAAGGATACCTTACAACAATTCTGCAAGATACCAGAGGCATCCATAAAAACTACATGCAATTTCGTATGCATTTTAGCCCACTCTTTAGAAGTTACCATACAAGCTAAACGCTAGGCATGAGGACATTAATGTGCACTTTTATTTTGCTTCTCCAGAAAGTATATCAGAAATCTACACAATATTGTGACTTAGAATTTTATAAATATCAAGAATATTACAGAGAATATAAAATTGCTTATTAACTTAGAAGCCACACAACAAAAAAATCAGCGTTATAATTTCAAATTTTCACAGGACTAGTTTCGATGGTTTTACCGAACCATCACCCTCAGCTGCAAAAGCCTAAATGAACGAGTTAAGATATAATGATTAGATAAGATAAGAAAGCCTGGACAGGAGATAAGCTACTGGCGCCATCTGTTGATCAAACCAGAACTAAAACAATTTCTTTAAAGGAAAAGATGAATTGGAATTAGAGTCGTTAATTAGAACAGAAAGATTTTTTTTGAATGTGAAATGCCTCTAGAAAATCCCGTTCACCAACGGATGTTTTTTAAATAATTTTGGCAGCAGGAAAATTGAAAGTGTGATTTTCAGACCAACAATGTTAGGCAACAGAAGACTTCTGTGTTTCCTTTTTTCTAGCATATGCCTCATGTTCCTTAACGCGAAATTTTAAGGCTCTCTTAGTTTGGCCAATGTAAATTAAACCACACTGGCAAAGAATCCTGTAAATACCCCAGGAATTCATATCCGGAATGGGATCCTTGAGCATGGAACTCGGAATTTTATTGATGGGAGAATAAACTAGTCCTGTGAAAATTTTAAAATATAATGCTGATTTTGTTGTTTGGCTTCTAAGTTAATATTTGTTCAGCATGTTATTGTATCTTAATTATAAAATTGCTTCTTAACATGTTTTTAATGTATACTTTGTCAGTCCTATAGTTAAAAGCAAACATTATATTTACTAGAAATTTTCGCATCTTTATAAAATATCTAATATGTACTGCATTTTGGGTGTGACAATATTATGTACAATACACATATTATAAAATAAACAATATGAAATGAGTTTACAATTTATGTATATGTTCATTTATTTTTCAAGAATTACATTTATTATTTAACACTCAGTACAGACAGATGACTTAAAAATCACAGATTAAGAATGAAATATAAAAAGATGAATATGAACACTAAGCAAATGTTTTTCTAACAAGATATAACAAACAGTTATCCAAAGTTTTCTACATTTAAAAAAATACAAAATGAACACAAAATAGGTACACAAAGGAACTCTTCTTTTATACAAAATTATTAAACTGCTTCGCAGAATACTGAAAACAAACATTACTCATTTGGAGAATTTAAGAGCCCAGTTAAGCGCCTAATGTTTTCATATGTATTAAACTTATCATACATGTCAGGAAAAGTACTTATTCGTTTATGTACGGTCTGACTGAAATTTAAAATTCATAATTCTGATGAGTACTACAAACAAAAATGTAAATCAGGCATCCATATGGAAATAAATATTTTTTTAACACGCAGCATAAAATAAAACATATTTCTGGAAAGAAAGGGAAAAAGATCTGGATTTAGAAAATTGTCTTTCTTTTTAAACGCAGTTAACATCAGAATATCATGAACAAAAGTTAAAAAAAAAAAAAAAAAAAAAAAAAAATATATATATATATATATATATATATATATATATATATTATATATATATATATATAAATGCGACGATTTACAAAATTAGAAATAAAAAACGAAGCAGACATTTAAACACACCATGTTCCAGTGGAATTACAGAGAATGCCATCAGGTACAGCAATCACATATATCAAATTATGAAATTTATGATTAATATAAGATTATTTGATAGCATTAAAATGGTTCATAATACTTTTTAATCAATTTTATGTATGACAGCATTTCATTAAAACAAGTCAAGCTCTCATTTGTTTTAGAAACATGCAGCAAGGCTCTTCACAGTGGCCTAAATATGGAAATAAAAATCGAAAGTATATTTTAATAACACATAATAGTTACTAAATACATGTAAAAATAAAATAAATCAGTTTCATTTCTTAGGACTTATCAATGTTACATTTCCCTTTTAATCTTAAAAAGGTAAAATTAAAGAAATATGCCAACAAAAAGTATATAACGGCTTTCAAATGGTAAAAATATAACAAAATACATCTTTTTACTGAAGCTGTCACCTCATGACTAATGAACACTACTAGAATAAAACTAGACAGAATTAGAAATTTCTATGCAACATCAATATCACAACTTATGTGATTTTGCTTCTACTGATTTACTCTTTGTGGACAACAATTTATTTAACATTTCATTGAAAGTACTCCTTAGTTCGGTGGGTCCTCTTAGAAACATAATTCACGCAATAACCCTCCGCACTCTGTTATATCCTCTCAAGGAACGGGTGTCCCCTTTCAAGGGATATTAAAAGTTTATTACTGATTACATAGGATAAACATGTGCAAGTATAACGTTTTGAAAAGTGCTTATTTCCTAAAAATTCTTTCTGGAATAACACAACACATCAGACCAAAATATGGTTTATATACTGAGATATATACAAACTATCAGTCGGTGTTACATCGGAAGGGAACGTGTGAAGTTCATTCACGCTGCAGTTAAACTGTATTTTAGACTTGAATGGCCAACAAGTCGCTTGCAATCGACCACGAAGAGTTTTGGTCGATCACAGTCGATAGAACAAGATTTCAACACGCAAATGCAACTTAGTCGTGACTGACAGAAACAAACGGACGTGGTCCTTTCAGTATCATAATCTGACACTGGCAATTCGTCTTCTGCGCCAGTCATCGACAGTTATCTGTCAACTATTAGCTGTTCGACACGCCATCAGGAAGGCTCGTCGGCATTTCCTCCTTTAATCCTCGCTGTAACAATACATAATTTGGCATTCCTGTATTCCCTGTTTAATATCTAATACTCACCAGAGTGGTTATATTGTACTGGTATTTCTATACGAAGTGCTAATTCTTCTTAACGCTAGTGCTGCGCAAAAATGCAAGTGCATTCTTTCTTCGTTTTACTGCTTACAATTAAAATTGTCTACTTACATACTTCTTTTGCATTTAGTACCCAATAAAATTAGTAATAACTCCTCTCCCCCCCCCAAAAAAAATCCGAAGATTTATGCATTACGAATATCAAACATATTATTCATGAAACAGCGATATGAGAAAAAATAAAATTGGGATCTTGGGGCTCAAGTAAGAGCTCAAATGCTTTTAAAAAGCCCATGTTGGAAACACACACTCAGTGATTATCGCATCATTCAAAATAAGCCACAAGTTAGCAAAAAATGTAAAAGATTTTCTGGCGGGGAATTTATAAGAAAAATTCTTCAAAATGTCAGATTCACTTTTTAATAATTTTAAGAACAAGATTGAAATTATTTTTTTTTTCTTCCGATGGCATGATCTAGCCGTTTGTATGCGTTGACCAATACTAAGGCCGGAAGCGGCAGTTTCTTTAATACGGAGTCACATAATAGATGGGCCATCGTTGCCTTCTATGAAGGGAGGAACAAATTACAAGTACGCCTTCTCTGGGATTCGAACCTGGCCGGTCGGTACCGTTCGTTGCGTGTTCGGTACGGCAGCCAGAGTCACTAACTACTTTCCCGTCTGGGCGGAAAAAGAAAAGAAAAATTTCTCGGAACTGCGGTTCCGCGAAACCGTGTTACCATTTTCATTTGGTAAACTAACGTGAAAGCCAAACAGGGATCAGTTATCGCTCATATTGGCGAAAGAGACGTTTGCTTTCAAATTCCGTGTACATACAAAATATATTTTATTATTTTAATACTGTTGGCTCAACTCGTTGGAAAATGACACGTGCTTTTTACATTAATTGTTACTTTTAAATTGTGCAAAGGTTCTGCAATATTTCACAAAAGATGTATTTTTTGCATCTAACGTCATTTTCAAAGTTAATTTAAATGCTACTGTCAATAAATAATATATCACTTTAAAGATTATTCCATGGAGAATTCAAAAGATTTTTAACATTTAAAATAACTTCCTTATAAATAGTATGGATGAGAAATGGAACTTTTTTTTATAATTCTTGTAATAATTTTAAAGTCGTATGAAAATAAGGTATTATTAGAAAATATCAAATACCTTACATAAATCAATGAATTTTAAACATGTTTCAGATTATATAGGTTACACATACCAAATTAGAAAATGTTATTTTACTAACTGCTAATGTACATCGCTTGGGCATTTTACTCGCGTTTGTCAAGGTCATTCACTCGAATTAGATGATATCAGCAGAAAATTACAGCTTCATTTAACTCTACGCTAGTGCTTGGATCCAGTAAATTGACTTTCTTCCAAATACACTATATAGAAAAAAAAAAAAAAAAAAAAAAAAAAAAAATCGATGCACGAGGAAGAAATCATCAGATTGCTTTGAAATTTCGTATGCGATCTCCAGTGCATCGGAACTGCGCATCCAGCAGATGTACACTGTGTCTCAAAAAAAAAAAAAAAAAAAAAAAAAGAAAGACATTTCTACATCTACTGGCGTTCTACTAGCGTTCTACGATTGACGAAATTAAACTTGCTTTTTTCATGTCTCGAAAGCGCGACTTAGATTTATATATAGCATTGTTCTAATATAGGTATTTTGACAGAAAATCGGACTTTTCTAAAATAACCATGTTTTTTCCATACTTTCATTCTGCGACTAAAATTAGCCAAACTACCAAGTTTTGTAAAAATCGCAAAAGTAGTTTTTAAAAATTTAGCTCTCAAAATTTTAGCTCCTCAATATTAATTGAGTTTGGTATACATTTATTAATTTCTCTTTTTCTAGTAATCTTATTTGACTCTTCCTTTTACATTTCGAAATTCAGGTTCATTCCAAATAAAATTCACCCATTTTTTACGATTTATTTCTTTTTTAAATTTGTATTTTTTAATTAAAAAAAATTGAATTATAATCTACAAAATTTTTACCATCATCTTAAAGTAGACGTATTTCTAAGCGTACCTGCAAAAAATTAGTTTTTTATTCAAAATTTCCGAAGATATACGTGAATTTATATACTGGCGCGCTTTCAAATTTGGCATATTTGTTGAAAGCGATAAAATATCAAATATGGTTTAGACACTTTGTTAAAATTATTTGAAAGTAGAAACGATGTGACCTTTTCCCCCCGCTCATGCACAATGTAAAAAGGTAGGAACGAGGTGCCTTTTTTCTCGCTCCAGCATAATATAAGGGAAAGGAAAATTGGTTGCCATATTTTAAGAAGTTCGCCAAGTAAATTATTCTTGGCGCAGACTTAAAAAAATTGTGCCACGATAAATTTTTTAATTCGTATATATTTCGCACCAAATTTGACAAAATTTAATATCTAGGCATAATTTGAGTCGTAGAATTGAAATATGGAAAAAAAATTGGTATGATATTTCAGAAAAAGTCCGATTATTGTGTTAAAATACCTATGTTAGAACAATGCTGTATATAAATCTAATATATATTTTTAAGTCGCGCTTTCGAGACATGAAAAACGCAATTTGAATTTTGTCAATCGGCGCAGTAACCGTAGATATAGAACTGTCCGTGCCCTTTTTTTGCGCAGAGTACATAAGGAGCTGTTCTTGAACTATTGTTAACTTCTGTTGCCCTGCGATTTAGGATACCTTTCAACGACTGAAAATTGCCTCGCCACAGGATTCGAGCTCATTACGAGCAACTCTCATAATTTGAAAGAGATCGTATTGTTGGATTGAAATCGGAGAATCGTTCGTCATATGAGTCGAAGCGATGCGGCGATTAGAAGATGCTGGCGGGTAGACAACGGCATATTTCAGCGTCATGATGGTAGCGGTCGACCTAGAGCCGCAACAGATCGGGAGCACAGAGGGATTGTCAGATCAGCTGTCAGAGCGCCTGATTCATCGCTATCAACCATCAGACGTGCGACACGCGCACGAGTGTCCACCATGACCATTCATGACGGCTGATAGAGCGAAATCTACGCTTGTACCGACCGATATGCCACTTGCCTCTTACGCCTGCACACTCTCGAGCCAGATTATAGTGGTGCTTGGTTGGATTAGGTTGGAATGATGCTGACTGGGAACGTATAGTCTTTAGCAACAAATCGCGCTTCCAACTGCGTCGTGACGATCATCGAAGACGTGTCTGGAGACGCCCAGAGCAGGGTGCCGATCCTGCTTTCACTATTACACGCCACACAGGCTCTCAACCAGGAGTTATGATCTGAGGTGGTGCCATTTTCCTTGATAGCCGGACCATCAGACCTTTGGTCGTCATTAGTGACCCACTTACAGTACAGCGGTACGTCGACGACATTCTGAGACTTGTTTTGTTAACTTTCCTTTTGCTGTACCCTGACCTTATTATTTTTCAGAAAGATAATGCCAGGCCACATACAGCACGTGTTACTATGAACTGTCTTACAGCTTGTCAAACACTTCCTGCCAGATCTCTCCCCCATCGAGCATGTCTGGGATATGATGGAAAAGCGTCTGCATCTATCAGGGAATGTTGATGACCTAGCCCGACAATCGGAGCAAATTTGGCAAGAAATACCGCAAGAGACCATGCGGGAGCTTTATCAATGTATGCTATGCCATGAGGCAGCTTGCATCCAGGCTAGAAGTGGGTCAACACCTTATTGAGCTCGTTAATTTGTAACTATGTAACTCTGAAATAAATCATTCAGTTGTTCTAAAATTTTAATCATTTTCTATTCTGTATATAATTTTCCTATCCAACAATTTTTGTCTCCATAGGTCACCTCCTTCTTGGTGCGTCCTTTTTTTTTTTTTTGTTTTTGTTTTTGTTTTTTATAGAGTGCATTTTCAAATGGAATGAGATTTGGCGACTGGACAGACAACTGCAATTTTCTAAAATTGATTTAGAAAAAAACACATCTGTGTACTATTCGTGCTCGAT